TGTTGGAAATGTAGGCCCCAAAAGTGACCATGTGGAGAGGAGTGATCTGGCCAAGAGATTCTTTATTGCCGGGTGGGAGAGGGAGAGAGCCAAAAGAGAGCCAAGAGAGAGAAGCAGGAAGGGCAGGGGCTTAAATACCCCTCAGTGGGACTCAGCATGATCTGATTGGTTAGGATCTTATGGTTCATGCTGATTGGAGGTTGGGGCAGAAGGAGGATTCAAGCTAGACTTGAGGCAGGACCGTGACTCTGGGAAACAGAAGCTTAAGGGTGCAGTAAGAACTGAAACCTATCGGTGCCATTATTGCCAACATTCCTCCCTTTTTTGTTTGTTAAGGAAGGGGGGCGTTGTGTTCGCTCTGGCTTCTTTGAGCTGGCAAGGGGTGGTGTGGGGGAAGGGAGGGTCAGTTGGCAAACAGTGTTGGGGTGGTGACCCTCATGATGGCGTACACCCAGGCTCTGAAAATGAAGATTTCCTCTTCCCTGAAGTTGACGAAGGTCCCTTGTAGCCATAGTTCATAAAGAGTCTCGAGCCAATCCTCCGACCTCCACATGGTGGGTATCAGCCAACTATCCTGGCGTTTTGGAGAGGTTGGTGTCCCTGGAGGTACAACTGGTTACATTTTTGATTAGCAATAGAGACATGCAGTATGACACAAGGGAGGGAGCTTAAGAATAGGAGAGCAAGAACATAGGCATTAGGATGGGCATTGGCCAGGAGAACCACTGTGAAATGTTGTTCCCTAGACAATTTCAAGAGTCCTCCAACTACAGAGAGAGAAATGGGTGGCCATACATTATCTAAGACCCAAATAGGAATATTAGGAGGAGCATAAAAAGATGTCTGTTCAGGGACTACATACCTAGGGATCTAAATTCTGCAAAATCCTATAACTGCCAGGAAAGCTGTAAGCTGTCTTATGGTATGGGGGTTGGGAAATGGAAGATTGGGTTGGTGCATTTATGACTCAGGGAGTGAGTCTGTCCCTTTAAGGCCACACCTAGGTAGGTGACCTGTGGGAGGCAGGGGCTGTCAGGATTTAAATGTAACACTCTTGGGTAAAAGAGAGCTTTAGCTCATTATTTTATATAAATTGACACTTTTAACTTTTAAATGTTTGTACCATATTTAGATAAAGTATAACATAACACTGTTACAAAGTGGTCATTTAAGACACATAAGCAAATATGTAAATGAAGTCTGATTTAGTAGTACTTAAAGCTTGACAAGATCAGCAGAAACACAAATAATTTCTTTGATAAAATCTTTCTCTGTCATGGTTTTTTGTAGATGTTACTCAGAGCAGAACGATATTAAGATAACCTTGTTATTTCATAGACAGAGGATTTGATTTAGTTTGAGATGACCCTAAAAATCTTTTAGGCAACTTTTAGATTACATTCAACTTTAACTTCATCACACATCGAAGCTTTTATTATACACTTTTCAAACTTACTCAGACCTTCATACAACATACTAAACCCTTTGATGGTTTGTCTTCATCTTTCCTATTTGAAACAATCTTTAGGACAACCCCTTCTTTACAAAATCCCTTCTCATCCAAAAAAACATTCCTTTTTGCTTTAACTTCTCAAAAAATACATTTATTACCTATCTATATCCTTTCCAATTGTTTACTTTGTAACTTGTATTTTAAAATTAACTTTTATAAGAATTTTAAATTTATTATAGGGGCTGGAGCAACTAACTAGTAGCCCTTGTTGTTTTAAGGCATAAGGCCTCATCATTCCTCAGGCTTGAGGGGATATTGTTTTAGGTGTGGAAACTGTGAGGGATTTTGGGTTGTATTTGAATAGGGAGGGCCGTCCTGGTTCACCCTACACTCATCTCATCAGTCCACACTGTGGAATCTTCTTTGTTCCTGAAGGAGGGGGCAGCAGATTTAGCTGCCTGGGGGGAGGAGAATTTGAGCCTTTAATTGAGATAGTAAATCCCGTCCCAGCAGGGACACTGGAGTTTTAGGTACTATGAAGAAAGAGTGACAGAAGAGGAGGTGTCCCCAAGAGCAGGCCAGAGGCCAGGTAAACTAGCGCTCTAGGGGCTGGCCAGATTTGCCCGAACGATAACTTTTGTCATTGCACCGGGGACCAGGAGAAAAAGGTAAAACAGAGAAACGGGCTCCACTGTCTAGGAGGAAAATGACCTTTTGTTTTTCTGCCATTATGGCTCCTCAACATTGATGGCAAGAAGTGGAGTGTGGACAGGAGGCTTGGACCCATCAATCCATAGGAGGAAGCACCTCGCCTTCCATCTGGTGACAGGGACACTTAGACCTCCAGTGGTTACCCTTGCAGAGGGCAGGGTCCCGGTTGGGGCAGGGCTGTCTCCCAGGCTGTCCCCTCTTAAGCATTCTCTGCAGAAGTGCCCTCCTGTCCACCACGGTAGCAAGTTCAGGATTCAGGCCCCAGTCGGGTGGGGCCCTCTCTGAGAGCAGCAATGAGGCCATGGTGTCTCTTATCTTTTTCTCTCCTGTTAGTAAGGTCCCGGACATACAGACATAGCCATAAATACAGACATGGCTAGATGTATTACTTGGTTCAGTGACTTTTCCCTTCAGCCACAGTCTGAGTTTTTTTATGAATATCTGGGGCTGACTGTTAGAAATTTATCTTTGAGGAGAACCTCTGTCACCTGTGACTCTGAGTCCACCGTGGTATGCTTTCTGATGGCATCCTTAAGATGCTGTAGAAAGGTAAGAGGATTTTTTTTTTTTGATTGTTGCTGTAAAGTAAAGTTGTTCTTTAACATTGACACCTGACACTCTGGAGAGCAAGTCTCTGAACTGTTCTGGGCCTCAGTTTCCTCGCTTGAAGAATGAGGGATCTGGTTTAGGTTAAACTATGTTTTTCCACTATGAGATGGCTGAAGTGACATTAATGCCACTTATCTTCTTTACCATTTTTTATTTTTTTTTAGTAATGCTGGGGATTGAACCCAGGGCTTTGCACATGCTGGGCAGACATTCTCCCATTGAGCTACTTCCTCAGCCCCAAATATTATTATTTTTTTTTACTTTGGCTGTACTGGGCTTGAACTCAGGACTTTCTGCTTGTAAAGCGGCACTCTACTGCTTGAGCCATATAATCATTTCCAACCTGAGTGGCCTGGGCCAGAACCCATTGCTTTTCTAATGAGAGAAATTTGTATAGGGGACCTCAGTTTACTTTTTTTTTTTTTTACTTTTATAGAAAAGGTCTAATTGGAGTATAGTATTGTAATTAAGGAGCCCTGTGAAGGCCACTTCTTTTGTTCACCCAAGGCATACTGTGAAGGCCGGTCACCCAAGGCATACTGAGGCCGACCTCTGTACAAAGCTTCCAACATCCACCAGGCAGAAGACTGGAAGATGCAGGTCCCATCTAGAAAGAACAAAACGTTAGGGTCCTGTCTTTTAGCTAACAGCAGGCAGCCTCTTTAATAAAGGCTACCTTTTTAACAAAGAAATCATTTGTAAAGTTGGAGAAGGGCATTCAGAGGGCATTTCAGGCCAATAACAGTGCCATACAGGACAACTAGTGTTAATATTTGTAGGAAAAATTTGTTGAGACCAAAGGTATAGAAAATTCTAAATGAGAAACTTAGAGACCACAGTAATGTCCATTTTGTTATTTTTGGAACTATAACCTTGAGCTAATAATTGGCTTACAAGGGCTCTGTCTGATGCCCTGAGGTGTGAGGTGGGGCTAGGAGCAGGACTTGTGCAAGGCCACTCCCTCCACACACACCTGGGACAAGTGACCCTGACTGCTAGGCCTGATCCTGTGGCCTGTCACCCCTCCCCCTTCCCGTGTACTCTGCGCGGGTTTATTCTAGGGGAAGTGGAAGTGGGCCGCAGTCATCACCACGTGTGGCTGGTGGCCCAGGATGTACTGGGTCCTCTCTATGGATTTCTTAGCTATGGCAGGTGTTTTTGCTGTGTCCAGAAGCCGGCATCCTGTGCACAGTTGCGCCTGTTTGCTTTCCCTCCTCCCCTGTGGGGGCAGAGTTGCAGCGTGAGCGTGGCAGCTGCAGGTTTTTGTAAGCGCTTTTGTAAAGCGGCTGACTGAAAGTTACTTTAGACTGAGAGGCCTGGCAAACTAGTTGGAGTAACTTAAGTCATAAGGTTCCATGCTACAGGTTTTCCGTGGGAGGCAGGGTCCCAGTAAGCCCAGGGAGGGGAAGGCAGACAGAGACAAAGGACACATGGTGAGACCATGGAGGAGGCAGAAAAGGTGTGCTGACATCTTAGGTAAGGAGGGGAAGGCAGAGCCTGGAGGCATGACACAGGCCTATGGGATTAGACATCACCTGTGTCTCCAGGTTGCTCCCTTGACTGGTACTGGGGTGAGTTTAATGGGAGTCCCACCAAGATTAGTGGGGAGCCCCCATCTGAGTCATGGCACCAAAATGTTGGAAATGTAGGCCCCAAAAGTGACCACATGGAGAGGAGTGATCTGGCCAAGAGATTCTTCATTGCCGGGTGGGAGAGGGAGAGAGCCAAAAGAGAGCCAAGAGAGAGAAGCAGGAAGGGCAGGGGCTTAAATACCCCTCAGTGGGACTCAGCATGATCTGATTGGTTAGGATCTTATGGTTCATGCTGATTGGAGGTTGGGGCAGAAGGAGGATTCAAGCTAGACTTGAGGCAGGACTGTGACCCTGGGAGGCAGGACCTTGACCCTGGAAAACAGAAGCTTAAGGGTGCAGTAAGAACCGAAACCTATTGGCGCCATTATTGCCAACAGAACACATATGCTATGCACGCCATTTTGTGCTGTAGGGCGTGTTATCGCGCCACAAGCTTGTGCACAAACATGCAAGCAAGGTTTGCTGTTGATTCATTTTATTCAGAAGAGACACAAGGAGCTTGGGTGGGGACAGAAGGGCTCTTCTACTGCACTAGGAAGGAGAGGAGTGATTCCTGGGAAGCTGGTTGGAGTAGGGAGAGAAGGAATTAGAGGAGACTCAACATGGAATGGCAAGGTGTCACAGAAGAGGGCCCCTCAGCAACTGGGTGCCTGCCCACGGCACAGCAGATTGCTATAGAACTGGTACTTCACACTGTAGCTTTCCTTGTTTCGAGCAAAACACTCGGCAGCAGCTTTATCGCATTGGCACAGCTGACTCCTGCAGGAGTCCTGGTTTGCTGAAGAAGAAAATAAACACGGGAAGGGGTGGTTAGTGTTCTAGCGTTTCCTGAAGGATAGGAGACTTAGCCATGGGCTCCAGGTGTTTCTAGTCTGAGACAGTGCCTGGTTCCAGGTATTTCTGGCTGATGTGTTGGGGTGGGGGAGCAGAATTCATACCCTTGAATAGACTAACTCCCTCTGATGACAGCACAAAGACACTAAGCATGGAACTGTCAGAGGTGCTGCTATCTGTCACCACCTCTTCCCTCATCCCCACCCCTGGAGCTGGAGATGGAACCTAGTCCCTTTCACTTCCCAGGCAAGAACTCCTCTCCTTCTTCCTTCTTGATAACAACCTTGCCCGGGGGCAGAGCCCAGCCCAAGGGAGCTGGGATAAATCCTGATTGGTGTAAGCCAACTGTGGTCCTTCCTTTCTCCTTATCGTCAAGTAGGATGTGGCTTTGTTCTGGCCAATGAGCTGCAGGGGAAGAGTGGGGGGGGGGCTTCTGGAAAACATTAATTTCCCTCTCAGAAGAGGTGGGCAGTGGAAAAACCTCCATGGAGCTTCGAATGCAGCATCTGTCTTCGTGGCACAAGTGTGGATTCTGCAACATGGCACAGGTGAGAAATGGTGCTGATGGCGTGGGGGTCCCAGCCCCGGCACTGCCCTCTTCCAGGGTTCATATTAGGGCAGAGTCAGGCATCGCCATTAACCATACCACTGTTTGTTGGGCATCTTGGGGCCCAGGATGTAAAGCCTGCTAAAACACCTGCCCCTAGGGAGAGGTCACTGTGGCAAGCAATAATCTCTAATCTTAAAGGACTTGGGCTGTGGGTAGAGACCATGCTGTCTCCAGATCCCACTAGGGAAGCTACTGTCTGTGGTACACTTCCAGTGACCACCCATCTCCCTTGCTCTTGCAGCTTCAAGCTTTCACCAGTTGGCTCCACTCCCTGCCTCTACTTCCCTTCCCTCTCCTGCCCAGCCAGCTCTAATCTGATTTTGTCCTCACAACACTCCATTAACATCTCCCTCTGAAGTCCTTATGGCCGTCCTGCATTTCAGTCCTCATCACAATGGCCATTGTCAAACATTTCCTCCTTCACAAACCTTTATCTTGTCACTCAGTCTTCCATCCAATTCTCTGGTTTCCTGACCTGTAGTCACCAAATGAGTGAGCACACACAACTGACCCCAGGCTAGACCCTTCCTGAGCTGCCAGACCCTCTGGAACTGCAGCTCACACATAGCATGCTCACACACCCAAGGCATTCTGGGGCTCTTCAACCTGCATTTATACTAGTGAGAACTACCCCTCTGGCATCCCCCAGAACTCCTACTGTGATGTTTGCCTCAGCTGTACCAGTTGCACAGTTTCAGACCACCCAACAGACCATTAGCCCAATGCCTGCACCATGGTCATCCCACTCCAATGATTGTCCTCAAATGTGTCCTGACCACAGATGTTATATCCGGCTGTTTATCTCTCTTACTGACATTAAGGCAGTAGCCTGCTGACTGGTCCCATGAACCTTATCCCTGACCCTGCAGCCAGGGTGGCACCTCCTGTCATTCCTTTGCTAAATAGCTCCCTATTGCTTTAGGACAAAACTCAGATCCTGATCAGGAAGTCCATGCTTGATCTGCCTGTCCTTGTCCCACCTATTTGACTCCTTGCATTACCACGGGCCAACATGGATGACCTGCAGTTCCCTTTGGTCCCTTATTCATGCCTGTCCTCTTCTGGGGGTGTCCCCAACTCTCTTCTTCCCTGTCTCTGCACAGCCTGTAGGACTCAGTTTAGATGGCACCACTTGCAGGAGCCGTGCTGAGCCTTACTCGGGCTGTGTTAATGGCCCGTCTCTTTGCTTACTTCCTACTGGACTCTTCCACCTGTGTCCTCATTTTCCTAGCCTGCAACTCAGCTGGACCTCTCCACCAGGCAGGGATGATGTCCCTTGTGTCTCTGGCACCCAGCACAGCGCCCTGTACAGTGTCAATCAGCAAATGCATGAGAAACCCCATGGTGTACATGCAGCCTTTTTTACCAGCACAGATGATTTTGCCCCCTTCGTAGGTAAAAGTGTAGTTCAAAGTTTTCGTGCCGCACCCAAGATTCTTCAGACGACGGTAGCAACAGTCATGGGTGACACAGCACCTGATAGGAAGACATCCAATTGGCTCTGTGTTCCCACAGCTCCAGGGAGCCTGGTGCCCCATCATCTCCCCACTCTTGACCTTGGGAAGAGACTCAATGACTCTAGAATAAACTAGAGCTGAGTTCCACCATGCTGGCTGTTTTTAGAGCAGGGACCTCCTGGGAACATTGAGCCAATAGGACACCAGCTGTGTCCTTGCAGCTCCCAGTCCAACTGTGGCCAGAGGGAGTGTGGGGTGGCCTCACCAATCTGTTGCATCCTTGGGGGATCCTTTGCCACCCAGGCCACAGTAGCAACCATAGGAGGCGTAACTGAGCTCAGCTATTTTTCCTGTCTTCAAATGGATCATCTTCCTGAAATTCAAAAGACTTCCCTGGGCCTGCATTAGGACTGGAAATAAATCAGAAAAGTCCTGGTTATGGGGCAGGACATTGTGTCCTTCCTCTCTGCCTCTGTCTGCTGTTTTCCCTCCCCCAGACGGCTTCTCTCCCATTCCCACTGTCAGACAGCTGCTGCAATGGCATGGAAAACTGGGAGAAGGGCTGCCTCCCTCCCTCTGATGCTCCTGGGCTCAGGGCTCAGGGTCAGCTCTTACCAAAGGCCATGATTGCCGCCAGCAGCAGCAGGGTCCTCATGCTGATGGTTCTGCTGAGGGGAGAGTGAGGATAGTCTGGCCTGCACTTCTCTCCCAAGTGGTCCCAGGTTCTTCCCTAGCCCCGCTCTGCTGTCCAACCCGATCACACTGGGGCCCACAGATGTGCTCTCACACCAGGCAAGAGGGGTCCAGGGGGGAGCACCTCTGTCACACACAGAGTGAACTCCAACAATGAACTCTCAGGTTATCTATGACCCTCCCAGCTCTGTGGAATGGTTTCCCTCACCTTCAGTCCCAGACCCACCCAGAGTCCCTGCAGTGTGCAGTCCCCTTGCTCCTCAGCTGAATGAGATCTGGGGAGGGTCGAGGCAGGTTCAGCACTGAGAACTAGGTGGTTCCGAGATCAGAGTTTGTGACCCTCATTAGCTATTTCATCTTCTTCCACACTGGATTCAGGGCTTGGAAATTCCATCCATGGAGTCTGATCTCCAATGTTTTCTTCCCAAACTTAATCTGCAGCCCTTCCCAAGCCCATGCTCATTGTACATGTGTGCACACACTCCCACATGCGCACACACTCCCATAGGTATAACTGTGTACACGTGATGTAACTCCCCAGAAGTGCACACAATCTCTCGTTCAACACCTTCACAAACTCACACAGCACACGAGCCCACTCACACTCTTGCACATAAGAAACCGCACAGGCGCGCTTAGCTGAGGTGGGTCACACACACATGCACACACACAAGCCCAACACAGCCACCACAGGCAGTAAAGGACCCGGGTTTCTGGGTTTTTACCTCTAGAGGTGGTGGCCTTGATGCCTCCAGTGATTCTGTCTTTTCCTGAACTCCAGCTGCCCTTAAATGGCTGTTCCTTCTGCAAAGTGGGAGGTGGTGAAGCACGGAGGTGGGGGCTGGGGTGGGTGTGGCTATTCATGGACTCAAGGAATGGCACGCCCATGTCCCTGGGTAGTTCCTTTTATTCTCCATCCATCAGAGGGAGACCATCTGAGTCTGTTGGTTGCTTTTCCTATGGTGTCTATACCCATAGCTATTTCGAACCTTTGAATGCCTCCTAGTTTGGGCCTGGCCTGTACTGGGCAGCTAAATGTACATTCAGGGCCAAGTGTCCAGGGGGCAGGTGCCAGTGCAATCCCAGGGTAAGAGTCAGTAGGAGTCAGTCCTGCACAGAAAGAAGACTCACAGTGCCTGGAAACAAAGTCCAATACCATTGCAGAGTAGAAAACGAGACAGGAAACAACTCTGAGTATGAACTATTGAAAGGACATACCTGAAACTTGTAGCAATGGTGATACTGCCTTTGCTTAAACAGAAGGCCCTGACCAAACACGCAAGTTTGCCTTTTGCCAGAGGCCTAGAAGGCTTTAATATCAGAGAGCACATGTGTAAGAACCCTTTTTAAAATCTCTCAGCTTGATTACTTTTAGAGGTCCGGCAAAGTTGACTCCGTCTATCTAAAGACATCCCCTCATTTGTGTAGCCCTTTGGAACTGTTTTCTGAACAGTTGCCTCTGCAGATTTGGCCATTTGCCAATTTAGACCTATCACCAGGAGTAGCTTTCTCTTGGAAAGTCAGATTTGTCCCATGTTGGAGGGGAAATAACCCATCAGACAGATCAGAAGTCAGTGCCAATGCAATCTTTCTGGCTAGATTAAGCAACACAGAGATTTATTTAAAAAATGGCTCTTAAGCTAGGCTTAATTAAGTCGAATTGTCTGTCCCATAGAGGATGTACTGACACCTTCAAATTGTTGTAAAGTGCCAACAGACAACAGTTTCAAAGTTTTATGAGGAAAATACAAACAACCCCAATACTTAAGAATGTCTGACTCCGTTGACTCTTAGGTACTTGTTAGAGTCATTTTCCATGGACTTGTCTGTAAATGTCCAGAAGAATGAGAACTGTGACAACAAAACTTAAAATAACCATGGGTAACAGTTTAGCAATTAGCATAACAGTCTAATTACTTCTATTGTATACAGTATGGTAGCCTCTCTTATTACAACTGGGAACATATCCACAAACTTGTAAAAAAGGCTAAGACACCAGCATGGCACAGTGTCATTTTACAACTCTGTTATAGAATGCTTACATACTTAAAGAAACAAACACACTTCACATACAAAGGAGCCAGTGACAGCATCAGTTTAAACCTTGAGTTTTGGTTAGGTGAGGTAACAGACAAATAAAAACCCTAAATTTGCCACTAGTTAGGGGAAGGCAGTGTCAGTAATCCCAAATAACCCCTGTTTTAAGGTATAATTGCATGTCATACATACATAAAACAAGGTCTATTTATCTGAGACAGACAGATGGCAGGCCTAAATGGCAGATCTTTTACCATTTGTCATAAACAGCAGAAACTTCAAAGACCTTATCAAACAGAATGGATAAAAGGGCTTTGTCTTTATCCCTTTAAGTCCTTTGGTAAAAGGGTTATGCTATTTACTTTAATACATACTATTTTATTCCATAAATCTTTTTAAATAACATTTAGATACATATACTAGGCACTAGCAGTATTAGAACCATTTAAAAGTATTTTTTGCTAGGTTTTTTTTTTTCCTATCTGGAAAGAGACTAATTTAGGCAGGCTGTAAAGAACAGTGAATAATTTTAAATGGGTTAAGAACTGAACTTACTCATTGAGTTTGATGAGACTGTTTTAAAAAAACTCTTCATGAAAACATGTTTACCAACAAACAGGTGGAGCTATTGTACACTGCACAGAGTCAGACTGACACCAAAAGCAACGTGCAACTTAAACAGACAACAATATAAAGGGAGACAATCTGCTGAGTGTTTAAAGGAAAACATCTCAATTTGAACTCTGCAAGCAGTATAGAATTAATTCCAAGTTACACTAAGGTAAGCTTAGTTGATGGAAGCTAGGAGACAATACTGGGGTTCCTCGGTGCAAGAAAACTGCGTAGTGTTTTGGAGCAACTGGTCCAAGCAGTGTTAGAAATTCCCTTGGGTGAACTGAGGAACAGGGTGCACTTATATTTTGCTTTTGGTAAATTTTGTATTACTGTATACAACCAAAAATCCCTGACAGTTATCTTGATAAAACAAAAACCCACTTTTAGACACGTGTTAGTACATTAAAATTTTACCTTAAATTTTAGCCTCAGAGAAATTTCAAGGCAAGCTTTAAATTGTAGTCAACTCAATATAAACTTATGAGGTTTAAGACCTTAATTTGTATCTTGAAACAACCTCTGCACAAACCCAAATTTAGATAATATTGTTTCTAATGAAATACTTTCAGCAACCTTATAACTTAAAATAAGATGCAGGAAGAAAAGTAATTTAAACTATCCTTTTACAACAGCAATCTACAAGATCACATGGGTTCAAAAATCTAATTATAAAAGAGAGTTGAATGCAATCACACTCACAATACAATGAAACAGATTAAGATTATCATCCATAAATTATCCTTTGTCCTAAGGCAGAGGATAGTTAGGCCTTGTTGGGGTAAGAATTTCAGATAACTTTTGAGACAACTGTTTTACACGTTACCTTTATATAAAGACATCTACATACATGAGAGAAGTTCTGACCTAGGCATGCCAAAATGGTCAATTTAAGCACACATATATGAGCTCAAAAGAGTAAGCATTAATTTAGTGGCCACAAGTACATTGATAGGAGACAAAGACATACACACAATATACACAATGACACACTAAACAAACACATTAATTCAGGGTGCCATCTTAAGCAAATCATCCCTTTGTCATTATTTTTAGTAGAAGATAATTCAGCTTAAGTTGTTTACAATAGAGCATTAACAAATACCCTATTTTTTGTCCAATCCTTGTTTAATTAATGTACTAAAAAAAACACATATAAAAGCTATATTAATTTAGAGAATTTTAACCACAGGTTGGTTATCACTTTCCTTAGAGGATGACAAAATGGCATCACCCATGAGTCTCCCATCCCTAGGGACTGGCATGATGGCTGTGAAATTGTGTTGGATCCAGCATGGAGACAGCATTTCCTGTGACCACATGGCCTCTCCAAAAGGGGTTCTCAGAACACAGAGCCATGTTACATGCAACATACAGGCCCAAAATAGCAACCTGTTATAGGAATAAATGACATCTCTTCCTGAAAGACAGATGTTCCTGCCTGTATCGGTTAGTGTGGTGGACATTAAGGCACTTCAAGTGTTTTTTTTGTTTTTGTTTTTGTTTTTTAATGTTACTAGGGTCGAAGTGTTTGCAGTATTTAAGGACACAGCCAAGTGGGGAATATGTTGGATTCTCCCATGCTGGCTTGTGAGGAGAGAAGGGAAAAGGAGAAGGGAACCTGCCCTAAGGAGTGAAGGGGTACTCCTGAGATTCAAGAGGCATCCCCCTGAATCAAGGACGTCCCAAGAGCAAATAGTTTAGATTTGGTTTACAACCAACATCTTCTCTGCCAGCAAGTGGTAGGGTACCTTATTTGTCATCAAATAAAGCATCCTCCAAAGGGAAATTTCTACACCCTGAATGAGGGATCATGGATGGAGTGCTGATTCTGAATGCTAATCCAATTATTATCCTAATGAAGAGACCAAACAATCAATGCAAGCTAAGGTGGGATTTGAACTCATGGCTTCACACTTGCTAGGCACGTGCTCTACCATTTGAGTCACTCTGCCAGCCCTTGTTAGCTTCCCTAAAGAAAGCTGTCTTTAGGATTTGGTAACTAACCCCACTAGCCCCATCAGCAAAGAGTGTCAGATGCTCATCAGCAGGCTGAGGGGTGTCTATGGGATGGGGGAATGTGATCTCAGGGTGAGACTTTCTTTGACCCCAGATGCCACAGGAATAGGGAAACTGAGAGTGAGAGTCTGGACCAGGTGCCCACAATAAATAGAGGCACATTCAGTAAGCAACCAGTGGTGGTGAAGGTTTCCCAAAGAAGAGTGAAAGAGGGAAGAGGAGGAAGACAGGCACGAACACCGAGCAGTCCTCAAGAAAGCAGGGCACAGCCTGGGATGTAGGCTGCTCTGGCTG